ATAATAACCAAATTTTTATTTAGTATACAAAGCAGGAGATTTTTTAATATATCGAGAACAATCCTCAATGTTTATATGCTGAGTATGTAGTGTAATAATGAATGAAACAGATAATAATTCAATTAAACTCAAAATAGATCTAGTCCTTTCACATGAAAATTTTCCTAACTATCATTCTGTTGATAAATAACATATTCGTAAAAACGGTAATGAGTTATGGCTAGTTGAAAGTGGATTGAATTTGGTTAATCTGGCTAACATAGTACAGCATATTATTGTTTGGTTATATGACATGGCAGAACTAGAAGAGTATGATTTTTATATTAAAGAAATTGTATATTATTTTGACGGCAGGTGGAAATACCGTGATATAATAATGAGGCATCAGTTGCCTTATGAAAATCTTACACTAATATCACCTTCACAGCAACTTCCCATTTTAAAGGTTTTTCTTGACATTTATGTTGATGACTTTGGTACTTATAGAAAAGTATACCATTCGTTAGGTGAGGTTTACTTGCAATTTGGAAATATGCTATTAATACACCAAAAATAACTTAAGAATCACTTTTTGATCAGTTTTGTTCCTTTTGATGCAAAATTTGAAGATTTTATTAAACCTGTTTTTCAAGATATAGAACGACTAGAAAAAGGCTTAATTATGAAAATGATATATGGTGACGTTTGGGTGATTGGTGGACTTGGCTATATCACATCTGACCTCCCGCAGGGAAATGACTTAGCAGGAATAAAACGCCATGGAGTAATTTATGGTTGCCGAACATGCAACATTTCAATCGATCAGCTTACTAGCTCAGATTATAACTATGTAAAAAATGCACGCTTTAACCAACAAACAGAAGAACGTATCGAAGAGATTAGAAGTCAATATTCCAAGTCAGAAAGGAACGCCTGGCTACTAAATATGGTATCATGAAACCGGGAGCTTTCGACGTGCTTAAATGGGATCGGCATCTTCAAACCCCACAAGATGCATATCAGTCTATGTCCGAAAAAGCATGCATACTATTAGATGCAACATTCAATGTATTCAATGCAGTTGGCGAAATTGATTTTATTAAGTCTTGGAAAAGAATTGAAAAGCCTTTTCACTGGTGTCGGATGTTAAATCCTTTAAAACATCATCAAAGTTTTATGTTTTCTGACATGTTAAAACTTTCAATGCTAATGCTATTTATACTTCGACGTTTTTTAAAACCACATCACATAAAATCAGATGCTTTGAATAATTGGAGTGTGAACCTTGAAATAAAACAAAATTCAGTTACATCAAAATTATGTTTAGTATATGTTGGGCAATCGAGGCTAAGGCGTTAAAGCTTGTATTTTCAAATACTATGTCAGAAAATATTTATCAAGAATTTCAAGAATCTCTTAATAGAGAACATGACGTACTTATACAAGTAAGATTAGCAATCAATTAGCATTTATCAACTTTAATAATGTATATTTGTTGTCATTCATTTCATATATATTAATATTATAAACTAATGATTTTTACAATTTTTATTCATTAGTTATTCCCAAACAACTTCACAAATTTGCCTAATTTACATGTAAATACCCATTTTCCACAACATGCTCGTAATTTCGCTATAGTTTTAAACACTGCCGTTGGAATTAAAGAAATGGTTCATCGCACATTCAAAAGAATGGTCCCACATATAAACCGTAAAGTGATAGAACTCAATCTTACCTGGCGATATAATACAATACAAGTGTTACGGCATCTTGTTGATAGTTGGATAGACTCTCACTTTAATACTGAAACCAAGAATGCACTAAACAATCTTACTTCAGATCCAAAACTTTATACGATACTCTCAGACTGGTATGCTACAGAAAGTCCATTTATACTTACAAACATTCAGAATGATGAAGATGAAAATAGTAGTAAGTCTATATTTGA